CTCCTAAAAATATATGTTTTTAGAAAATATTTTTCTCTTTACAGTTGATAAATCTGGTGCTGAATTTTACAGGAACAAACTGGAACATGTCCCTCCCACTTCTCTGTTTGTTACTTTGGATGTAACTGAAGTACTGTGATGCGGTATCGTCAAATGTACTGCAGTAAAACACAGTACAACACTGAAAAACGGAGGGAACTACAGAAATCATGAGCTTTCATGACAAAATAACTATTCTTAAGCACTTTTAAATGTTAACTCTTTCTATTCTGGCCGTAATGATTCACACTAAGATCTTGTTAAGACATTCAAAAATGAAAAATAGCCTTTCTACAACTCTTATATAAAAACTCATACATAAATATACCATGACTTTTTAAGCACAGTTTATTTAAAAAAATCATATAAATTGCCTCAAGTGGAGGAGTTCAAGTAAATTGCAAAAATCTAAGCTATATTTTGGTACATTTTTGGTTTAAAGACTTGAAATGACTTGAAGCTCAAAGCAGACGACTTGGACTTGACTTGGACTTATGGACCAGTGACTCGAGACTCGACTTGGACTTGCCTGTATTTGACTTGGGATTTGACTCGGACTTGAGACTTACCTAAGACTCGCAAAACAACGACTTGGTTCCACCTCTGCTGTGAAACCTTCCTGGCAAAGCAACAACATATCGATGGAGAAAAGCTTTCGAAAGTTACAAAATGCACCTTTAACTAAACAATGAGATTAAAGATGAAAGGTCTGTTTACATCGGCACAGACTGCAGCTGAGTCAGAGTCTCTTTATTACCACACACGTGTTTATTCCACGAGCTGTAGATTCCAATGTTCAGTCACATCCCGCGTGGCGGGCGGTCACCTCTTCCCCTCCTCTCCCTCGTGATGAAGACGTGATGAAGACGAGGTGGGGTTTTGGGGGGGATTTGGGGAGTTTTTTGAGTCCCGAGTAAAGCTGTGTGTCAAGCGTGACTTCCGTTGAATTCCTAAATGTAGTAACGTAGAGTGGCATGACCTGGACCTGATGTCTGGGGTCTGAGAATCTGTCCTTTTCAAAAAATTCCAAGATACAAATACTTTCTTTTTTTTTTTTTACATACCAAATTGCAGTGTCATGACAGCTCGGACTATTGTATTCAAGGGGGTACCATCATGTTTTATTTTTAATTTATTTTAAATTCTATCTACACTTTCACAAATTTATTGATCCACAAGAGAAATTATTTGGACACAGTTACACACATTACAACATAATATCATAACAAAAAGTAAAAAATATAAATGGTAATAATAAATAAATTCTAATAAGCAGCAAAAAAGTAAATAAGGCATAATTATATAAATGTGTTTGTACATAAACATAAGTATATACAGTGATTAATACAGATATTTTGCAGTTAAATGTATTTCACAGTAAGTAAAAAGTCCCCAAAATACTTCCTATGTTGGATGGCTTTCTGTAGTAATGACAAATACGGATGTCGTGCCCAGTGACATAACAACAGTATGTGCTTTTTTACTTCTCATTTTTTTTTACAAACTAATTTTGGATGTTTTTGTTGTGTCCTTTGGCAATATATTCACTCACGTTGTCCTCTCTGTGGCTTTCTGTCGCAAAAAGGTGCATTATTGTAAAATATGTGTGTCTTGCCCTTTTTACTTCTCATTTTTGAACAAACTATTTTAGGCAAGTTTTTGTTGTGTCCTTTGGCAATACACTCCCCCACTTTGCCCTCTCTGTGGCTTTCTGTCACAAAAAGGTGCATTACTGTGACGGCAGTAATGACAAATATGGGTCAAGTGTCTTGCCCAGTGACATAACAACTGTATGTGCTTAAAGTCAGATACACTTTTTTTCCTCACTTTTCATTTACTTGGTTTTACAAACTATTTTAGGCAAGTTTTTGTTGTGTCCTTTGGCAATACACTCCCCCACATCACTTTCTGTCACAAAAAGGTGCATTATTGTGACTCCAGTAATGGCAAATGTGGGTAAAATGTCTTGCCCAGTGACATAACAACAGTATGTGCTTCAAATCAGATACCTTTTTATTTTCCTTTTCATTTTTTACAAACTATTTCAGGTGTTTTTGTTGTGTCCTTTGGCAATACACTCCCCCACATTGTCCTCTCTGCGGCTTTCTGTCGCAAAATGGTGCATTATTGTGACTCCAGTAATGACAAATGTGGGTCAAGTGTCTTACCCAGTGACATAACAACAGTATGTGCTTCAAGTCAGATACACTTTTTTTCCCCCACTTCTCATTTACTTGGTTTTACAAACTATTTTGGGTGTTTTTGTTGTGTCCTTTGGCAATACACTCCCCCACATTGCTTTCTGTCGCAAAAAGGTGCATTATTGTGACTCGAGTAATGGCAAATATGGGTATCTTGTCCTTTTTACGTCTCATTTTTTTACTAACTATTTTAGGCAAGTTTTTGTTGTGTCCTTTGGCAATACACTCCCCCACTTTGCCCTCTCTGTGGCTTTCTGTTGCAAAAAGGTGCATTATTATGACTGCAGTAATGACAAATATGGGTGAAGTGTCTTGCCCAGTGACATAACAACAGTATGTGCAAATCAGATACACCTTTTTTTTTTTTAACACAAACTAATTTTGAGTGTTTTTGTTGTGTCCTTTGGCAACGCACTCCCCCACACTTTGCCCTCTCTGTGACTTTCTGTTGCAAAAAAGTGCATTATTGTGACTCAAGTAATGACAAATGTGGCAAAGGTGTCTTGCCCAGTGACATAACAACAGTATGTGCTTCAAGTCAGATACACTTTTTTTTTTTTACAGACTATTTTAGATGAGTTTTTGCTGTGTCTTTTGGCAATACACTCCCCCACATTGCTTTCTGTCGCAAACAGGTGCATTATTGTGACTGCAATAGTGTCTTGCCCAGTGACAATTTCAGGTGTTTTTGTTGTATCCTTTGGCAATACACTCCATCATATTGCTCTCTCTGTGGCTTTCTGTTGCAACCAGCTGCATTATTGTAACAGCAGTAATGACAAATGTGGGAAAAATGTCTTGCACAGTGACATAACAGTAGAACGTGCTGCAAGTCAGATTTGAACCAGCTTCCGAATCATCAGAACAAACACAAAAGCAGGACCTGAAAGTCTTACTCATTTTTTCACGTGTCATTTAGCTTTTACAAACCATGTCAGGAGGGTTGTGGTTACATTTTTGCCCAAGCACTTGCTGTTGCTGTATCCTTTGGCAACATACTTCTCCACATTGCCCTCTCCGGTTTCAGTCTGACTAAAGTGTCATTCTTGCCAGCAACCGCCAAAAAAGATAAACATTTTAAAGCGAAAAAATCTTTAAGCACGTTGTGAAAATCAAATGACGCACCAACTGTATGTGCTGCCAGTCAGATTTGAACCAGCAACCCTTTTTCATTTTCTTTACTGTCACTACGTCCAAGGCTAAGTCATTAATCTACGAATCTATGGTTGCTCGTTCAATTTTTGCCCAAGCACGTGCTGCTGTGGAAATTGGCAAGACACTTCTGACTGACTGACTAACTGACTCAAAGCCCGTCTAAAGCATCGTTCTAGTTAGCAATCACAAAAGTAAATAAAAAAAAAATACATTCAAGGGTTTCAAAACGATGCCACATGAGGACTGTTGCCATAGTGATTAACATTTCTAAACTAAATATTCTATCTTTTGAATCTGAAAAAGTCCTTGAAATGTTGCATATAACCAGAAGAAGAAACCATAGACTGTACATAAATGGACAAGTGAGCATGGGCGCTCTTCCGGCTCCACTGACTCTGGGTCCAGTTCACTTTCCATTGAAAAATCGTTGTTGTCAGGCTCTTCATTTTGGTCTTAAAATGTCCGTGTTAACCCTCTCTACGTGATCCTGGTGTTTTTATTTCAATATTTTATCTGACGTCACTCTCACTTAGCCCACTTCTTTATTAGGGCTGTGCAAAAATAACGAAATATCAATGCATCGTATCGTTTCATGTGCTGATACAGTATCAATATCGTGGGCTGCTGTATTTATATATCACCAAGAGTGTTTTTTGGTGAATTTTACTCAATTATTTTGTTACAGTGCTACAGTTTTATTGCTTGTTTAGAGGAAGGAAACTCATTTATGTGACATATTTGACATTTTCACTGTTTTGATGATTAAAATGTTTGTGTTTCACATGAACTTTGCACAAGAAGTGGTTTAACAAAGACTTTTACTATCACAGCCATGATTCAGCCTTTATTTTTACTGAACCGTGTCAAATCGATTTTAAAAATATCGTATCGCATCAAAACTATTGAGATATGTATCATATCATGGCCTATGCATTGAGATATGTATCGTACCATGGCCTACGTATTGAGGTATGTATCGTATCGTGGCCTATGTATCGAGATATGTATCGTATCGTGGCCTATGTATCGATATATGTATCGTATCATGGCCTATGTATCGAGATATGTATCAAATTGTGGCCTATGTATCGATATGTATCAAATTGTGGCCTATGTATCGAGATATGTATCAAATTGTGGCCTATGTATCGAGATATGTATCAAATTGTGGCCTATGTATCGAGATATGTATCAAATTGTGGCCTATGTATCGATATATGTATCGTATCGTGGCCTATGTATCGAGATATGTATCAAATTGTGGCCTATGTATCGAGATATGTATCAAATTGTGGCCTATGTATCGAGATATGTATCAAATTGTGGCCTATGTATCGATATATGTATCGTATCGTGGCCTATGTATCGAGATATGTATCAAATCGTGGCCTATGTATCGATATATGTATCGTATCATGGCCTATGTATCGAAATATGTATCATGTGGCCTATGTATCGAAGTATGTATTGTATTGTGGCCTACGTATCGAGGTATGTATCGTATCGGTAACTTCTTACTGATACCCAGCCCTATTCTTTATACAGTCTATGGATGAAACCCATTAAAACATGTAATGAAGTTTTAATAAAACAAGGAGAACAAAGTGTGTTTTTTGTCGTTTTTTTAATCGAAAGCTTGCAGCAGACACAAAAAGTTGACGCGTGGAGCTTTAACAAAGACTCAAAATGACAGAAAGAGACAGACCTGTGCAGACACTACAAAGAGTGTCTGAAAAAAGAGGAGAAAACTAAATGAAAAATGAAAAGTACAAACATTTAATGAACATTTTACAGTGTACACGTGAGTTTACATTGTGAACTACATTACCCATGATCCCTTGTGTGTATGTGTGTGCGTGTGTGAGAGATAGAGGGGAGGAGTCATGTGGTTGAGTCAATGGTAAAATAAAACGATAGAAATTGATGGATTAAATTGAATAGACAGCTGCTGGTGTAGTTTTGTAAGTACTTTCTACTCCCTACTACTGCTACTACAAGAAGTATTGGGGTGCTGTCTAGAATAATACAGATTTTATTATAATGAATGGGAGGGTCCTGTCTGGCCTTATAACAGGGCAATGGATAAACAGTAACAAAAATAATATATGCAAAAAATGACAAACAAAAAAATACAGAGCTTAACATGTCTGCCAGTTTGTCCCCAGGGGGCGCTACAGCTCACCCACATGCATATAATCCCTTATTATGGCAATCGCTAGCCTAGCAATTTATTTTTTACATTTTGTCTTAACAGATTTGATGAGAATATTAATATTAAGAACTTTACCCACACATACCGTATTTTTTGGACTGTAAGTCGCACTTTTTTTCATGGTTTGGGTGTGTCCTGTGACTTATACTCTGGTGTGACTTATATATCCAAATTTTCACACTGACAGCCACAAGAGGCTCTAGGCTTGTGTGTCAGTATCTGCTGCTACTGTACCACTGTCACTTCACACTCTACTGCGCATGTCTCCTGCAGAAAAAGCCGCTGTTCTGCTGCAACTAGTGAAATATTCAGCAGAAAACAAGAATCGAGCAGCAGACAGAAAGTTTGGAGTGAGCGAGAAACTTGTGAGGGACTGGGGGAAAACGGGGATGGAGAACACTGCTTCACGGTAACTGGGAGGGGTCGACATACAACTTTCCTGGAAGTCACTGGATGGAACGACAAAGCCTGGACTTCAGTGACAAACAAAACCATCCTGTTGGGATTCAGAACGGCTGGAATAATTCTAACTGGAACTGATGCTGAGTCTGATGACAGCTACACAGAACCTCAGCTACCTTATGGATCTATGGTTTACCTCTGGAGGTCGCGGAGTTGCTCAGAAGTGACACATGAAGAACTGAATGGATTTAGTGATTTGGAGTGAGATGGAGAGTTTGGTAAACTTGTTCTGTTGTTTATGTTATAGTTATCTGAAGAACTGTTCATATGTGATGTTGTCTGTTGTTCTCTGTTCTATTGACATTACTAGAACTTGACTTTCAAGATGAAATGTCGGTTCCTGGTCTCAGATTTTATAAAATAAATTTCCTCCAGAAAGTGCAAATTATGTTTTTTTTCTTCTTCATTATGCATTTTTTGGCTGGTGCGACTTATAATCCAAAAAATACGGTAGTATGGTTAAAGATACACTGTGTAACTTCTCGCCTGCTTGTCTCCGAGGATATTTTATTGCTTTACTAGAAAAGTGTGTGATGCCATTAGACCGAGTACAAGTCAGGTTTATGGAGAAGTGACACCACTCGTAATAATAATGTGATTTTTCAAGCAAAAAGAACTAAATTAAACAAATGCTGTATGATTAATGCAATACTGTGGGACTTTCCGAGCAAAGGACAAGCATGTCCACGGAGACAAGCCCTTCCAGAGAAGTTACACATACACTTTTAAAAAACACAAGGCAGATAAGCTATTATTGGCATATAACCTGGTCAATGTTGCAACTCAGACAGTGAATAATGGTGAATAATATTAAGAATTCAAGTCAGTTAACATTTTATAGTTGTATTTACCGTAAAAATGAATCGCTAGGCTAGTTCAATACTGTATCTCGACGACAGAAAAGGTCCTCACCATGCATAGACAATCTTCAATGATTTAAAAATACTAAATGCTTAAAATAAGGCTTCAAAGTACATTGTGGGGCTACAGTTCTTATGAAAGCTACATTGAAAACAAAATTCGGATTAAAACTGTACCTAACTGATGGTGAAAATGAGGTGTTCAAAAATGCCACTTTCCGTATTATGTGCATAGGCCTATTTCATAACATTCACAACCTACATTTATATATAGACAATCCCTGCTTCACGAGGACAACAAAAGCTCATTTTAAAACAATGGATATTTTTACATTCAATCTGTTTCATAGACTTCTGTTATGACAAAATAAACTTCCCTTAGTCGTTTTGGGGATCTAGCCATTTTTCAGTTCACAAACATTCACAGGGGACATCGAAATTTACGAAAACATTTAAAACACACACTTTGTAATTGCTACACTTAACAACCTTAATTAAATACAAAAAAAAGATTTAATTTAATTCGGAATCAAAAAATTGTGGTTTGATAACTTTGCGGTTGTCATTAACATTCCTTGGGGGTGTGACGCCAACTGTGGGCATGCTCCGTCTGGCGTTTTGTTAGACTTTAATCTGAGCTTCAGTTCACTGCAATCTGACCACAAACGACTCTGGCTGGAACAACAACAGAGCCGAGCTGATTCGTGCTGTTAAACAAGCCTGTCGCAAAGAATATAAACACCAAAACCGGACCATAAACGCTTTTACTGATTAGAGGCTCCTGAAAATTTGCCATTTAAATCGAGTTAAAAATTCGCTTCGACAATGTTTGCTTATGTATGTGTCTCCAAGGTAGAACACCCCCAGAGTGATGTCACCGCAAAGTATTAAATAATGATTCAGGCTTAGTAACTACTTAAAGCTGCTGTACCCATTTTTTCCCCGATATGAAAGATATTTTGTAATCTTTTGTATACTGACCGCATCTAATTCCAAAGCGTTTTATCATCAGAATATCAGGAACTGTGCGTTAACATGTTAGTTTTTAGCTTTACTGTAATGGAAAAACTCCGCAAGGGTTTCTCAAAATTTTGAAAAGCGCTTCTGAACTCAATTTACCCGTTTGTAATCAGATACAGCACCTTTAACAGCTTAATCCAAATTCTAAGTAGTTACTAACCTCGAATCATTCATAAAAAAATGATTTGTTCAATATTAATCACACGTTCGAACTTCATTAAGGCTAATTAAGATCATAGCTATTATAAAGTAGTACTAAAAATTAAAACAAGGCAAGGTTGTTTATGTTCAAGTCCCATTTACAACCTGATGACGAAAAGAAAGGACTAAAAATGTCATAATCTCTTAAAATCAGAACGTTTTGGGATCGGTAAAACGATAAAAACAAAAATAAAACATTGTAAATCGGGTGCAGTGCGACAGTTATTGCTTCCATGTTGTTTGTGTGTGAGTGTACTGGGGTGTGTTTCAGTGGCCCTCCCCCTGCACCTCCGCTATGGGGTTGCCTGCTTTCTTCCGGCGCTTGTTTAAAAGTGGGTTCGTCGAGTCTTCGATCGTTTTAATCTTGATCTGTTCGTAGTCGACGCGCATCGTAGCCAAGGCACTCGTCATCTCCTCCTGAAGACAAAAAAAAAAGAAAAGAAAATTGGTTAGAAAAGCCAGCAGCGTTACAGTTAAAGCGTTAAAGGCTGTGTAACTTTTTGGTTGGAGGTTCGTCACTTGCTTATTTCTATGGACATGTTGCTGCACTGCCTGGAATGTTCCGCAGTATGACGTTAAACAGCTCTACCTTGCACTTATTCAATTACAGGTGGATTTATAGCTCAGAAACTTAGAAAAACAGGCATTTTGTCAACAGATCAGACTTGTAACTTGGTCTGGTTTGGTCTCCATGAAGATAGCGAGGTTTAATGCCATACTGTGAAACATTCCACACAACGCAATAACATCTCCATAATGAAAAATACGGAAGCCGAGAGGGGTGACAACAAACGCCGCAACAAATACAAATGCGACAACACAACAAAAAGCCACAACACGCCAAAAAAAGCCACAACGAAAATGACCGCGGGACTCTATTTTAATACAAACGCCTTAACAAATAAAAACGCCACAACACAAACGTAAATGCCTCTATTTTCCAACAGACCGATCAAGCGGCAAGTGAAGAAGAAGAACTACAACATATCGGTCTGTCGGAAAATAGAGTCCCGTGGTCACTTCCGTTGTGGCTTTTTAATGTGTTGTGGCTTTTTAATGTGTTGTCGCATTTGTATTTGTTGCGGCGTTTGCGTTTGTTGTGACCCCTCTCGGCTTCCGTAGAAAAGGAATTGACAGACCTTCCACCTGAAAAGTATGAACCTTTAAAGGCCTTAAACCTCTGGATCTCTGTGACTGACACCTATTGATACTTTGCAGCTGATGTCACCAACGTTCCATGGAGGTGTGGAGCTAACTGAAAGCACTGCTCTGTTAAAAGCTCTGTTAGTCAACTTAGAAAGAGCTGACTTGGTTGGAACAACAACAGGTGAGATGATTTGTGCGCTTAAACAATTCTGACATTAGCCAACAGTTTTTCAGTTGTAAATGTACAATGATTAAACATAAATTAATACTTTAAATGACTGAATGTCTCATAACACAAAAATTCTATAACAGTCTCCTAAGCTGGTAGCCTGATTCATCAGATGGTTTCACTTCGTAGAAACCGTATGACCTCGCAGCGTTAGAATTCGTTCCCTCAATGGTAGGGAGGAACTTTTTTTAAATTTAACCATTTGATCGTGATGTATGTAATGCGCCGCTATCTGGGCTGACTGGTATATTAAGCTTTTCCCATCCGTCTAGTGTATTCCGATTCCTGACCTAGTTGCTGGAGAGAAGTGAAACTGAGCGGAGGCACTAGGTGGCGCCAGCCTGGTTATTAAACTGGACCGTGAGCACTCGTCTTGATCACAGGCTCCTGAAAATATGCTGTTTAAATCCATTTTGTATTTTTTCCAGAGTTCTTAGGTAGTATTTGTTGATGTGTGCATTGTGTCACCATGGCAACGCCAGTAGAGATACAACTAAAACCCCCGCAGCGTGATGTCACTGCAAAGTATCAATGTCGCTCCTCCCTCAAAGCATCATGAATAAACTACTTTACACTCTTTCCCATTAGACACTTTAGACATTGCCATAACCACAGGCTTGAAGACAGATACTATGTTTTCACTGAGTCATTAGTCCTCTGCATTTGACCCATCCTTCAATATGAATCGGGCAACCTGTTACGAACAGTGGACCAATCTCTAGAGCTTGAACTGGTCTTGATCAGGACAGCCTTAGCTGGAAATTTTTTCTTGCTGTGAGGAAAGGATGTTGCCATATTCAAATGTCTAAAAAAACATTTTCTGGTCTTATTCAAGTTTTATAGTTGGTGCAAAAACTACCATAATTTCCAGACTATAAGCTGCTAAATTTTTCTCACACTTGGACCTTGCGTCTTATACAATAATTAAACACAGTTACAAACCTTGACGTCCTCCCATGCATCCTTTTCCTCTTTCAGAACTCGACTGGTGTGGAGAGGCGTCTGAGGCACCTCCATTGATTGCTACAAGACAAATAATGGTTAAGTTGTGTTTCTTATTCACCTGTTAGTACTATGATGCTATTGCTAGTGTGTTTTTACATTGATCCAGGGGTGGTTCATGAACTCTGTGATGGTCATCCTCTGAGTGGGTTCAGTCTTCAGCAGAGTCCTGATCAGTTGTTTCGCTGTAAACAAAACATTTAAATATAAAGTTGCATTTCACACATTCAAAACCACGTGACACTGGTTCTAGTTTCACACGGCGCATATTATCGTTTTATCAGACATGAGGTTTCGGTACAAATAAAATGCAGTCCCAATGTCAAAGTTTTTAAATATGAGAAGAACAAAACAAAACAAAACAAATTCTTTAGCTAAATGTACAGTACGGAGGTCTGGAGGTGTCCGTCACCTGCATGAATCCATGGAAACATTTAAACCATATTTTGGGAGACAGATGATAGTTTTATACCATACTGTGAGATTATAATCAAGTATTATTTCCATGGAAACAAATGGGAGGAGACTTTTTTTAAATTACATACTGTGACTAAGTTTGTCATGATTGATTTGATGATTTATTAAAATTTAGCAAATCACATTTAAAATATTTAGCAAAGAATCACATTTAAAATATAATTCTATCACAATTTTTGATGATATTATATTTTGTCTTATTAAAAGATTTCTATAAATTTGAACAAAATGCATCTTGCCCCAGTACATATATATTTATATAATTGTATAACCTGCTCTTGAGGTCAAGAGAAGTCAGATGTGTGCTGCTTAAATAATTATAAAGCATTTACTGCCCAAGAAGACAGGACATGCACTATTAGCCTGCTAGTTATTAGCTTTACTGTCAAACTTGGCTCTAGCCTCTGAAAGTTGTGAAAAGCTCTTAAATTCATTACTGTGAATAATTCAAAATGCACAAGGTAAGTGAGGAATAACACTGGACAACTGCAAACCTTTTAAAATGAACTAGTTCAAATTTTTAAACACAGTAAAAATCTCAGAGCTGCTTAAAGTGTTTTTTGTAATGTTTAGTCCATGTCTGGTCTTACCTTCCTCGGACACATCAGACCACTCAGGGTTGGGAAACTCGTACTGTCCCATCCGGATCCTCTTCTTCATCCCCGGAGAGATGGCTAGACCGTGGTTTGAGTAAAAAGGGGGATATCCACATAATCTGGCAACACACACAGCATGTACAGAATATCAGGCACATGTATCACATGGTAACAGTAAAGCACAGGTTAAACACACTTAAAAATGTTCTGGGACATTTATAACTATTGGAATTATAAAACAGTAATCACTCCTATGGGCTGTGTCAAATCATCAAAATGTAATCAACATCATTTTGATTTAACTGAGAGATCCATAGCCAAACTCCAAACCAACCAAACTCTACTGCCCAAATGAATATAGATCAGATATTTAAATTCAGATGATACCCTAAGAACCTATTAAACATAGAATCATTTTAAAATGGTTGACTATATATTCTTTTCTATTTTTTATGATTTATTTTATAATTATTTTAGGACACAAAGGATAATCTGTAAGATGAATACATTTTATATTCAACCAAACAGTGGTCTATTTTGGATTTCTACTTGAAAACCTCTCATTTAATGTTTGTTTAGATTTACTCATTTCTAATTTCAAATATGGAATTATGTACCAAAAAACCCCACTATACAGTATATTCAAAATAGTCACCCTTTGCATTGTATTATTTTTCAAAGTTTGATGATTTGATGCCATGTGTATTTACATATAAAAAAAAAACATTGAATGAGGTAGTGTATATTAATGAAAAACTTACAAAATATACATAATGACTCCCAATGACCACATGTCACAGGATTTGTCATATTTCTCTGGCCCGAGCACCTCAGGGGCTGCACAAAACCAAAATATAGTCAGGGAAAAGTCATATTAAAAGTGGAGAAATTTCCAGTTCTAAGTGTAAATCCAGCAGGTCTCTTACCGACGTAGTATGGCGTGTAGCAGGGCGTGGCTAGAGAGTTGTGTGACGTCGTCTCTTTGGCGAAACCAAAGTCTGTGAGCTTCAGGAGAGCGTTCGGCCGTTTGGTCGAGTACAACAGGTTCTCTGGCTACAAAAAAACCCCATAAAACACACATACAACTTTATTAGAATTGTTTTATCATTATATATTTTAAAATTATGTTTAATTGACATTTTAAAAAGTAGGATTCTTCTGATATGTCCTAAACATAAATTCATTATTTAGAAGTGATTTAAAAAAACATAAAAATTGTTTGTGTTCATATTTCAAAGTAATTACTAGTTATTGTATTTTCCAGGCTATTAGGCGCGCTCTTAAGTCTCCAACCTCATCAAAAAACGACTGCGCGCCCCACAATTCAGAGCGCCCTATGCACAAATCCGCATCACCCGCAGCTTACGCAAACACACACGGAGCAGACAGCGACCACATGATGAAAAACACCCACAGACACACTCATCGCTCCACACTGAAGAGGAACGGAACGGAGGAACGAACCGAAAAAGCGAGTGCAATGTGCCACTTCTAGACACAATTGAACAACTGAGTCACGGCGAACACGCCAACAATCTAGCGGTCCTTATAATCCAGAGCACCTAATAGCCCAGAAAATACAGTATATATAGATGTCCACATTACCAAAATAACACCAAAAGTTATGAATAAATAGTATGGCATCATATAAAAATATGATATACTTTTATGCATTAGCATTTATGTCCATAGTACATGGCAGCTTATAAAACATGCATCCCGAATTTCTGACTTCCGATCTTTGTGCAATGTATACTGGGAAGGATCCTCCGAAAAAGTGAGCATCAAACTGCCATGTTTGATTTCCCAGTGGGATGCGTCTATTGTCAAAGCCAATCTTTTCAAGTCTTTTGAACCATATCGCTTTTGTTTCTGGTTCTGATATTGTCATATTTTAGTTATAGGATTCGGACATCGTAATTTTGTGGTTGTTGGATGTCCTAACAGCAGAAAATGGGTTTCGGAAGTTTGCGAACTCCATAACTGCAAAAGGGGATCAGATTTGTGTGACTGCAAACCTCAGTTCAAACTGTTTCCCTTCCCAACAGAATTGAAACATAGTGAAAGGTTAAGGCGATGGGCAGCATTGCCATCCAAAGGAAGGACCAAAAAGGTAACCTTTGACTGCCTAAGAAATCATCCCGAGTTTGTAGTGAACATTTTGTATGTGGCGTGCCATCAAAGCAAAATCTCAATCCCTCGCTCAACCTTGGTTGCGAAAGGCACCAGCTGTTCGCCAAGAAACACTTTCCACTGCAAAGCGACCAGGGCATGATCTTGTGGTAAAGTCAGTTGAACTAGAAAGTGCGAGCTCAGCCTGCTCGTCTTCTGTACCTCTCGTTTAACAAACAGGATTTTGCTTTGATGCCGCTCCACACCTATGACACCCACAGTATCATAAAGCTTTGATGACAAATGGAAAGCGAAAAGCGTTCTAACCTTAACATCTCTGTGTGCGATGTTGATTGCGTGGAGGAACTGAATGGCCTCGCCGATGCTCTTCATGATGTCTGAGGCCTCTGAAAGCACAACAGAAAAAAGTTTATAATCTGTGAGAGATTCAAAAGATTTTTGTATTTATTCTGAAGAGTCTAATCGGTCTGTACCTCTCTCTGTGAAGGCCTGGTCTCCTCTGTCCTGGATCCGACTGAACAGTTCTCCACCGTCCATACTGCAACACAATATGAAAGTACAAATATAAAGATACAAATATAAAGCTGACACACACAACCATTTTTATTTCTGTCATCCAAGCTCCTTCTTCAGTTCTGGTCAAAATGCTGGTGGACACTTCCTTATATCTGCCTGAAGGGAGGAGCTAACTACACTGAAACTACTCTGAAACTAACACCCTACTTGTTTACAGTTTCTGTTTGTTAGCTAGGCCTATTCATCTGGACTGAGTGAGGGGACATATTAGCAGAATCATTCAGTACAGATGAACAGGCCTAGCTAACAAACAGAATCTGTAAACAAGTACAGTATTTTCCGCACCATAGGGCGCGCTCATAAGCCTCAAACCATATCTAAAAATGACTGCGCGCCCCGCAATCCAGAGCACCCTATACACAAATCCACTCGGGTGTCCCAGCACGACTTCAGTAAACTACAAAGCCACACCACCCGCAGCTCACGCAAACACACACGGAGCAGACAGCGACCGCACAGCGAAAAACACCCATAGCCACACTCATCACTTCACGCCGTCAAGGAACGGAATGGAGGAACAAAACAAAACAGCGAGTGCAATGTGTCACTTCTAGACACAACTGAACAACTGAGTCACTGCGAACACGCCGACAATCTAGCGGTCCCAGACAGCCCCCTCCCTACACCCCACAACTGAACAAAGCCCAGAGTCACAGTGAACGCGACAAACAAAGTCCCACTGACCCATCCAACTGTTGTGTTTTGTTTAAAGTCCGGTGCGTTTTATTTGTGAAAAAAGTTCGAAAATAGACCATTCTATGACAGTGCGCCTTATAATCCAGAGCACCAAATAGTGCAGAAAATACGGTAGGTGTGTTAGTTTCAGAGTATTTTAAGTGTAGTTAGCTCCTCCCTGCAGGCAGATATAAGACAGTGTCCAACTGGATTCTAACCAGAACTGAAGAAGCAGCTTGAATGTTCTGCGACATGTTTTTGACCTAAATAAACGTTTGTCCAGGTGACAAATTGAATTTCTCATTTGCCATGGATTTTACCTGGACGACTGGGGGATTCTACAAATTATAGTTGCTTGTATACGTGATATGGTATTTTAAGTATATGGAAATGGTTTAGTATTAGTTTTTTTTTAAATATTTGTTTCAATGGTTTTCACTAAAACATAAAAAAAGTGCATTTTGTCTAAATTTGGCTTCTTCCCTTATTGTACTGACCATGTTGCAACAATTTTGATTAAAAAAAAAAAAAAAATGGAAAAAAAATGGAAAAAAACTCAAAATTTTATATAATTAAAGGGCCTGTACTGTTTTGATTCCATGTATTTTAACATATATTTTGTATTGTATAAGCAGCTCTTGCAGTCAAAAAATAATCCGCTCTGTACAATTTGCATCTAATTATAAACTGTTATATTTTTCGAGAATTGAGAAGTGTGTGGTTAAGCATGGGAGTTAGCATTACCATAACTGCAAAACTTGCAAACGTCCACTCTGGCCTCTGAAAATTGTGAAACACACTGATAAACTTATCGAGGTGAGTAATTAGGATGCTCGAAAGTCAAGGATAACTGTGGACCACTGCAAAGCATTTATAATGATCTCTGAAAGCGCCATACACTTTGCATAATAGGTCTGCTTTAAACATATTGAACTTGCAAATGTACATCAACCCGCCCAGAGACCACAAGTAGCAACTTAGGAACCGTTAGCGAAAACGGACTTCCTCTTTTGTGGAACTTTTCAGGTGAAAGGCTTGTCGAATGCTTTTCTCCGTAGAGATGTCATCGCTTTTTCTGGAATGTTTCACAGTATGAAATGAGATCTGTGGAGAGGCCTGTTTTTCTAGGTATTTTGGAGCTATAAAACCACCTGCAATTGAATAAATATAAAGTAGAGCTGTTATTGTCATACTGCGGCACATTCCAGGCAGAGCAATAAACATATAACATAGAAACAGGTGAACAGGTTAACCAGAAAAGTTGCACAATGTACCATCACATAATGTCAGGGCTAATTGATAAAAGTAAAAAATTTAATTGTATTGTGATTTTTCTGTTTTGCAATTTGGATTTTGTTGAAATATAACATTTTAAAACACATCCAAAAGAGCAGTTTTTAAGCAATTTTTATGCAGAATAAGACAGGAGATTTTATTGATTGCAACTGGGTAAATGCGTCTATTCAAAGTGTGATTTCGATTGCGAGATACTGCGCAGCTCTATGTGTATGTATCAGAGAAATGAATGCACATGTTCAATTGAAAACAGTGTGAAGGTGCAGTAAAGGCTTGCATATGATAGACAGGACAGAGGGCGTTGGATAATTGAAGTGTTGAGAAGAGCTCAAAGCTTGTTTCGTTTTTGGTTTGGAATGACTGTGCCGCACTCTCAAACCGTTTCACCTCATCTAACCTCAGGACTACATGTGTCACCTTGAAGCAGGCCTAAAGCTTGACCCACCCCATCTTGGGGACTCCCCTCAAGACCAGAGCCAGACCAGAGCACCCAAAAGTGACAGACCACAGCAGCCAAGGGTCCTGTGTGAGTGACGAAGAGTGATTCAAAGTGAAATTGGCAGAGACAGGAGCAGTTTGTGGTGAATGGAGAAGTGCAGAGTCAGAAGCACTCAAAATGTTCTCAGGCTCAAAGTGAAAACACAGACTCCAGTCTCATCTGCACAAGTCTGTGAGCGGATGGGGTTAAAAACCAGAATTAGTTTAGTTTAAACGATTTGCAGCAGTCCAAGGTTATTGCTCCACTTCTTAACACATTCCTAACATCCTCATTATTCAGAGTAAAGAGATTTTGTGCAAAACATTAGCATGCTAATAGTGCACCAACCATACTTCCAAAATTTTAAAACTTAAGGATTTGATAAGCATCCAGACAGCAAAAATAATGTACAAGGCAGAAAGGAAAGAACTACCAAAACCTATTCAGAAGCTTTTTAGGGAAAGGGAGACAATTTATAATTTAAAAGGAATTCATCTCTTTAAAATGGCCACAGTCCGTACAACAAGAAAAAGTTTCTGTATTTCAGTTTGTGGGTCAAAATCTGTAACTATGTGTGGTGAGCTCAAAAAATGTCCAAATATGAAAAAGTTTAAACATAAACATAAAGACATTATTATAGCTTTGTATGCTCAAGAACAAATTTAAGTTTATTGCTATGTAAATTACGCTATATTTATGTGATGTACTATAAGAGTCTGGCAGAAGCATATTATTGCTTTAGTGGGATTGTAAAAGGGGGTGGGGGTAGATAAGCATTGCTTCTCCCCCATTCCTTTTCGGAACAATTAATTTATTTATTTTTTTGATATTATAGTTGTGATGAGCAATGCAAAACAATTGTCTTTATGTATCTGTTGATTATTGCATATGCAATTTATCATTTACTGTATGATAATGCAATTTATTATTTATGGTAACATCCGAAATAAACTTATCATCATCATCACAATACATTAAACATATTTTACTTTCTTAATTTATTTTAAAAAAGGGGGGAAACATGACCCATCATATTTCAGATTTCAGTCAGATTTCAGTCTTGGGCTCATTTCCATGTACAGATGTCTTTGCCCCTGTAGACACGAGTCCAGTGTCTTTGCACATGTCACTGTGGCCAAGAGGGAGTCACACTCATACTGCAACTGTCCATTCACTTCTCTTCCTCTGACAATTTTAAAGTTTGGGATTATGTCATCTTAATTCATTAAAATCCCCTGATATGATGTTAAACAAAAACTGCTCAGTGTGTGAGCCAGAGAGCTACAAAAGCAGCCAACCACTCTGTTGCCATGGGAGCCAATATGTCAACTCAATTCGCATTGACGCTTTAACATAAAACATATCAAGGATGTGATCCTGCAGACAACACTGCTGTTCTACTGCTCTTTGGCTTTAGTTGAAATACAGTTTTAGCTGAAGCAGCCCGTTCTCACGCCGCATGTGTTTGTTCAGCTGTTCCTGTCTTCACTTCAAACATTTTACACTGAAATCACTGCACCTGCTCATTCAGTTTTGTTTCCTCATCTTTTGTGATAAGGAGATGATACTTCAGCAAACTCTTACTAAATAGAAACTACGGTAAGTCAAAGGTAAAACGTGCCACAGAAAGACTGAGGCAATAGGGTTAGTCACACTTACCTCTCTGTATGTTGCATTTAAATGTATAGGAAATTAGTCATGTGACTTAGCGGTACATGACCTCCTCTGCTTAACCACAGGTACATGCAGAGTTGACAGAGCGATTGTGATGCTAATGTCATAGATCTAAAATAAGTACAAGGTTTCAGTGAAAGACCTGCTGGTTTACTATAATTCACCTGCGCTCACCCACTCATCAGGCTCAGCATTTTACCAATACATTTGGGGTCATTGACACACTCGCCAACACACAAACCTCAGAACCACAGGCAGAACAAAGGCTGGGTGGTCAGTCATCTGGTTTAGGCGAATGTGGGCTGGGTAAATTTAACAGAAATTGAGACAGTTTTCGGGTTAAGCCTTCTGGCATTTTTGAGTGCCGCTTTGATGTGCACATTTGCTGTATTGTGCATTAAGCAAGTACCGAATTTACATCTTCAGTCCCTTGAAGTATGCCTATATATGGTTAAAGCATCCACTCGCTAGGTTGGTGGTTCAATGCCTACTTTGGTCAAGCTTATTTGTTAAGACAGCATATATAGCATCTTGTGGATTCTGGACCAGGGGTGGGCAAACTTTTTGACTTGTGGGCCAAAAAGGGCTCTGAAATTTGAAAGAAGGGCCCGACCAGGAGCAATTTGGATGGAGTTTTTTGATAATCCACCTCATGAGAGAAAAAAATAACAGAGGATATGTAGAAAATATATCCCATGTTATTGAAATATCCCATAATTGAAAACCATTACAAAGCATTACAACAAAATATCTGTCTTTCAAGTCCCACAGTATTTACAATTTTAAAAAAATGACTTTTAAAACACAGAAAATTATTATTATTATTATTATTATTATTATTATTATATTATTTTATATATATTCTTCTTTTTTTTTATTATTTTATTATTTTTTTTATTTTATTTTATTTTTTCAAGATCAGGGGCCAGATTAAAAAGATTAAAGGACCGCATATGACCCCCGGGTCTTAGTTTGCCCACCTCTGTTCTAGACACAGGGGTAGAGACAGAGCGATCATTCCCAAAGCATAGAAACTTCTCTGTTCATTATACAAATTGACCCTGACACATGACAAATTGGCAAAGGTCCTCAACAAAAAGCCCAGATGCTGGCACCACTGTCAAATATAAAAACATAACCTATTCAACTTTAACTAAAATTAAATCTTATGTTGATCTAATCTTATTTTATCTTAAATTATTTTTCAAGTGTCTTAACTCTGATGTACCACTGAACTCAGAATTTGCCACAACAGGTGCTTCTAGTGGTGATTATATTGTCCCAGTGTACAGTAAAGTAAATAAAAATTACAGAATGTTTCCAACCAAAAATGCTCTTATTGAAAATATAATAATGCTGCATATTTATTTTCTGTAACTAATGTCTTCTCTGTTTTTATGAACACCAGCTCAAGCGTCCCCCTGGCTTGAAAGTCCCAGCTCAAGCATCCCATTCTCTCAGCAGGAACATCCCTGTCCTCCCTTCCAGGTGCCCGCTTCTCTTGGGCGGCACTTGGGTAACTGCTGTGCCCGGGAAAAAGGGGACATTCTCGCTGGCCTTTCGCAGTTTCTATATCATAATAAAATGAAATGTGAATGTACCAGACGAAATGTCGGGCCTTGTTTATGTCATTTTACAGATTTTACCGAAGCAGCACACATTTTTTCAGTACGAAATAGTAATATAATCCTCATTTGCTCGCAGAAATTTACTACCACATCATATTTCAAATATTTTTTCCTTGTTCCCCATGTCCTATAGCATCTGTAACTGTTGATTTGGGAAGAAATACTAATTATTTCCTTACCTGCCATGAACATAATCAACTCATGTCAGGTGTCTATGTCATGAATACCAGCTCTAGCGTTCCCTGGCTTGAAAGTCCCAGCTTGTTGCTTATGCTCAACATGAACAAATGTGTTGATATTAGGGCTGGGTATCATAAGAAGTTGCCGATACGATACGTACCTCGATACAAAGGCCACGATACAATACATATCTCGATACAGAGCACTTTTGATTCGATATGATATATTTCAAAAAGATTTGATACTGTTCAATAAAAAATAAAGGCAAAATCATGGCTATGACACTAAAGGTCTTTGTTAAAATATTTCTTGTGCAAATTTCATATGAAAAACAAAGATTTTCATCATCAAAACAGTGAAAATGTCAAATGTGTTGCATAAACGAGTTTCCTTCCTCTGATCAAACAACAAAACTGTAGCACTAGCAAAATAATTTAGTAAAACATACCAAAAAATACTCTTGGTGATATATCGATACAGCAGCCCACAATATCGATACTGTATCATCACATTAATTGATATAATATATCAAAATATTAAATATTTTTGCACACTCCTAGTTGATATATACTGTAACTTGCTTGTGTAATTAATACAACATATATAATGAAAAAAAAAACAAGTTTTTAAATGAATATGTATAGAGAATAACTAACTTAGTTTCATAAAGGTTACAATTCAGGGGGACTTTGCAGCTTGGAGACCTTCCAGCCAGGGTTTTTTTTCAACCGATTCCCGCTTATATTTTTTCTACAGACAGGTGTTGAAAACTCATACTTGTGCAAAAACACTCAAATCAATACATCTGGCTGGTCTAATACGGTTGTGGTGTCCTTAATACAAATAAATAAACAAAACAGTCATGAGGCTCTTTACTGTTGACAAAATAAGGGAAGTGAACATCACCAATTTTGAATCAAATCAGGATCTAATTGGATCCCAGTCAGAAATGAATATATTTTTGTATTAACTGGCGGTGAAAAGCATAATTTTGAAGTTTTAAACGTATCTCTTGCCTATATCCATATTTTAAGTCATTTGTTTGCTTTACAGGTTCCATATTATACTATTTTCTGATCTCTGTTATAATGTTTCCTCATCACAAACAGACCTGGAGTTGTGTTTTGTTTCATTTATATGTTTAACACACAAACCCTGCATATTTACCTCTCCACCTTATGATGTCATGTGGAAATACAGCGGGTGTCCTATTGTGTTTTTAAATTCCATACACCTTCACTAAAACCGTTTTTATGATTTCAGTCCTGGAATTGGCAATCTCTACTGAACTAAAGGTAAAAGGAAGCTGTGAAACTTGAAAATGACTGCTTCATGACATCACACGGTGGAACAGAGCATTTTGAGCTTAGACGATGTAGACAGACTAATAATAAAGTGTCACTCAAATGAATGAATGAAACAAAACATGGCTCCAGGTATGTTTTTGAGAAGGTAACTAAATTAAGACTGGGGAAAGAGGATCATGGTTCATTTTGACATGTCCTCAGCCCTAGTGAAAAAAACATGTAGAGTTACAATAGAGACGGAGGACCCCGACTACAGCCAAAAGTGTGTATAAACCTACCACTCCATGACTATGAGCAGGCACTTTCGGCCCTGGTACAGGTTCTCATAGACGTCGATGATTCTCACGATGTTTGAGCACGGCGACGCCCTCCAGTGGAGCTCCACCTCTCTCCGTGCTTTGGTACAGTCCTGGAGCATCTGAGGAGGACACAAGGGGGAAGAACATTATAACAGATGCAAAAATTCACTATTTACGACAAAAACAAAAAACTGTTGGTGTTTTTCAGATAATACAATGTAATGATGTTACACTCCCAGATGGAGGGGGGTATTCTAAGGTGGGATATTCAGGACTTGATATGAAGACAATGCACATATTAGCAAACACTGTCTAAAACATTTTAAGATCGTCTGACAACTCAAGAAAAAATACAAAATGGATTCAAACAGGCAAGTAATTCAAAGTGCTTTACAGAATAAGAAATACATTAAAATCGCAATATAAACAAATCAAAACATTAATAATCATCAAATTATTAAAAGAAGAGAGAAGAATGCGGAATGAAAAATGAAAACCTTTCAGTCATATGCAGCTAAACAGAAGTGTTCTGAGTCTGGATCTAACCAGCGTCAAAGCAGAGGTCTGTCTCACATCTTCAGGAAGACTGTTCCAGGTTTTAAAATGTTGACTCCCTATCTTTAGTCCTGACTCTGGGCACCAGCAGGAGGCCGGTCCCTGAGGTCCTCAGAGTGCGAGATGATTGTTCATCTATGACACTAACATGTCACAGATGGACTTTGGTGCTCGCCCATGGAGAGACTTGTACACAAGCAAAGCCGCTTTAAAGTCTCTGAGCCACAGGGGGCAGTGCAGAGACCTGAGCACAGGATGCATGTGCTTGTACTTCCTAGTTCGAGTAAGGACCCGAGATGCAGCGTTCTGGATGTTCTGCAGCGTCTCACAGCTCGTTTGGAGGGACCAGTGAGCAGACCATTACAGTATCTAACCTACTGGAGACAAATCATGGATAAGCCTCTCCAACTCTGATTTAGAGAGAATACCTTTGATTTTTTCTGTGTTTTTTAGATGGTAAAAGGCTGCACATGTCTATGTCCATTACCCTTACATTTATAGATTGATTTGAGGGTTTTAACAGCACATTTTCAGGAGCCTGTGATCAATGCACGCATTCACGTCTTGTTTACGAAGTTTTATTTTTAACCAAAAGGTCCGAGCACCTAACTGAAAAACTGTTGGCTTATGCTAGATACCTTGTGGCTGTAACTTTATTTGAGAGGGTCTTGTTGTTGTAGCTGTTGTTGTTCCAGCTCTTTATGATTAGATTGTGACGCTCAGATTAAAGTCAAACAAAGTCTCAGACAGAGCAGAGCCTACAGTTAGCATCACCCCCAGGGAATGTTGATGGAGTCAGCTGCAAAGTATCAGTTGATCACGTCATACTTTGCCATGAAAGATCCAAAAGTTAAACGCACAAATGCTGAACCTGATCTTTTTTTATCAGTGACATGACCTGAGAATTCGGCGAATTACAACGAAAACCCACATGTCAACAAAACTAATTTATCTGCCTCCATCGGTGTTAAATATTACCAGCCTATAGACTGCTGCGATGTCGTGAAACCCAGAAATTCATCAGTAATAAAAAGACGTGGTTAAAGGTGTGAAACATGTCATCTATGTCACAAGGCTGTTATTTCAGTGGTGGACTAGTCAAATGTTTACAGACACGTTGAAAAAATATGCTGACTAAAGGTTTCTAGATAGAGAATATTTACAAATAAAGCATATTATTGATGAAAGTATTTATTTTGTTTTAGTTTATTACATTTTGATTTAATAATGAAACAGTCTTTGTTACAACAGGTTTTTTGTACGGCCCGACTGATATATCGGTTGGCCAATATGGGCACTTATGGAAATATATCGGCTATCGGCATAAACCTTGCCGGTATGGGCCGATAGTCCACGTGGGCATGTTGTACCTTGTTATAAACTTTACACTCCCTATATTATGTCAATTTAATCCAATTTACAGACAGAAAAATGTCCTAATATGTGGTGCCGCATCAATATTTATCTGTGAAGTCATTTGTCTGCCCCTGAACGCACTCCCAGAGTCACATTACTCACTTGCTCTTGTTTACACCCGCATCTGCTGTCAACATACTGGATTATATTATATTTACAGACAATCGTTTCTGAGTCAGAAAGGAAGGACACTTATTTGTGAAGATTTGTGATCTAAGAGGAGCCTGTGTGAGTCCTGAGTGTTGCAAATGTGTCGTTTTTGAAGCTGCTTTTGGTTCTTTGTCATTGGTTAGCTCTTAGCTGCTGTAGCTCCCACACATAAACAGCCTGTTTTCTCTTACACTGGCCTAGTGTAAAGTGACTGTAAGTGGCTGCGGACCTGCATTGATATGTAAGTGAGCTGTGAATATAGGTGTGAATGCTGTTTACTTACTTTTTTAACAGTCTAAAATGTCATGCAAAAAATGCCATTAGGCAGAATTACTCTTTAAGGGACAGTTCAGAATTTTGGACATTGGGTCAGAGTACTGCAGATGTGTGGAGACACTTTTTCAAATATTACATACAGTCCTTGTATTTGGAGAGGTTGTTTGTGCTAGATTAGCGCAAGTCAATGGCCATAGTTAGCCTGCCACTAAAAACGGACTTACCCACTCCACAGTGTACTCGAGGCAAATCTGTTATTATTCTAAACTGTCCGTGTGAATGTCTGTGTCAATAGAATAATTTTAGAAGTAAAACTAACCTTGCATCACATGAATCATCGCATGTTTAGGGACTATTTTCTCAGCAGCAGCAGAATTTTACTCTGCTCTAGTTAGCTGTGATGATAAGAAGCCATAACTGAAACTGGCTTCTTCCTGTGTCACTGTGGCAGCTGCAGGTAAACAAACTATTACAGAGCCAGGAAGACAGGAGCAAGGTGATATCAGTCCGCCGCTGCCAAGCTTTCTATCAGGAAGTACAACTCACTGCTGCTGCTCACACATAAATCCTTCAAATGAAAGGTTGGTTTTACTTCTAAAATTATTCTATTGACACAGACATTTACACGGACAGTCTGGTGTAATAATAGATTTGCCATGTTCATCAGTATAATATCAAAATCCAGCAATATTTTCAAACAATAAAACAGGTCCAAAACAAAAAAGCAGTTAAAACATACAATATCTATAAGAAATATCTATAACAATATCACTCTCCCCTATATCTTGATAACAACTCCTTAACTGATTAGATTTATTTAATTTATGACATTATTTTGTTTTGGTTTAATTCTTTCTGCTCTCCTGTATAATAAATTGCAAACCACCCCCATATTGTAGGAAAACAAAAAAAAGACGTATGTATGTATGTGTGTGTGTATGTGTGTGTGTGTATGTGTGTATGTATGTATGCACTTTGACTGTTTTTAGAGGCAGGCTAACAGTGGCCATTGACATGCAATAGCCTAGCACCAGCGACCTCTGCAAATACAAGGACTGGATGGATCATTTCAAAAAGTGTCTCCACATATCTACAGTACTCTGGCTCACTAGGAAATGAGGTCCTATGTCTAAAATTCCAAACTGTCCCTTTAAATATGACTGTAAAAAGGCAGAATAATAATAAATGTTGTTTAAATAAACCCAATTTAAAACCCAGTAGAGCCAAACCTTAGTTTTATAATCAAAAGAAGATTTATAGTGAATTTTAAAATCACTAAATATATCAGCATTTATATCGACTACTGGCAGCTCCAACTCCCATTTTATCAGTATCATATCGGCCGCAAAAAAAAATCCATATCGGCCTGGCCCTAGTTTTTTGCATGTGTTTTAAAGTCTGTAGAATCCAGATAACAATTACGAAGACAAAATTCTCCAAGTCGACTAATTGTTTCCAGGGATGGTCCAAGAGCTCATGAGACAACAAGATCGGGCACACGTGAGAAAAATTATCTTGAGAGATTTTTTTTCCCAAGTGTTTACATTTGGATTGGATTAAAAAAGAGTTATGTGCTGGTGAGTTACATCTTACAGTTCCAAAAATCAGTACTAGAATGGAAACAAAAATATGAACTCAACTAGATAAAAAAAAAAGTGAGGTCAAAATTGGAAACCGAAAATTGTGCCTCAACCAAACCTTAATTGTTGCAGCTCTATTATGTACTTTATTGACTTTATTGGAGAGTTCGCCACTAACTTGCCTCAGGTAGTGCCACAGGACCAAATTACAGGTCGGATTTGTGGAGCAACACAATAGCAATGCGTGTTTAAAAGCTGTTTTTGGCAAATAAAAACACCTTTAATGGAATAAATGTAAGATGTAAGCTTAATGCCAGAGGGTGGAGCATTGCATAGTGCGCCTTTAAATCAGAAAGACCCTAAAAAACGGTTATAAGTTTGAGAGCAAGTCAAGATAAGAAACTGAGCTGTGTAAAGAGTTAAGTGCTGTGAGTGCATGGAGTAAAAAGACAGACGAGCACTGCCCTCTGCTGGACAAAAGTGGTGGTTCATGTGGTACTTTCTTATGGTAATGTGGCGCCCTCTTTTGTGATTTTTAGTTAGTGCAACCTTCATGGATGAATTCACGACTCTGAGAGACAAGGGATATTCAAACAGGTAAAACTAGATCCACACTTTGTCTTTTTTTGGCTTCTACTTTGACACTGTTTAAATCCAGGCTCAAAATGCTTCTGTTTAGCCGTACATATGATTAAAAGGGTTTCATTCTGTACTTTTCTCTCTCATTTAATATCTTTTGCTCTTTTTATTTTTAATTTTATTATGATTATCTATGTTTTGATTTGTTTGTATTGTGATTGTAATGTCTTTCTTATTCTGTAAAGCACTTTGAATTAGTTTGTGTTTGAATTGTGCTGCACAAATATACTTGCCTCGCATTTTGATAAAATTTTGGAGTGAAAACTTTGTAGTATTGTGAATTCTTAAACTACTGGTGTTGTCACTAGGGCTGGGTATTATGAAGCTCTTGATACAATATATACTTTGATACATATGCCACGATACAATAGTTTTTTTTACAATGCACTTTCAATTCAATACGATTAAATACAATATATTTCAAATTGGTTCTATATGCTTACATGCTTCAGTAAAAAAAAACAAAAGGTCTTTATTAAACCACTAATACTGTACAAAGTAAA